GAGACCGGGATGGTTTTTAATGTGAAGACAACAACAACAACAACAAGTAGTGCTGGATTAGTACGGAGAGATTGAGACAGAAGGAGGTACTGGATAGAGAGACCGGGATGGTTTTTAATGCGAAGACAACAACAACAACATACGGTTTAATGTGAAGTCACCAACCAACCAACCATGGATGACACACAAGAAGAAGCAAGAAAAGAAAGAGCACACACGCACACGGCTCGAGTATTTTATTTCCAATCTCTTCCGTCCAGCGCACGCACAGCAGTGTGGTGGTGTTGTGGTGCATAATATATTCGTGGATGTGTTCAGGAGTCAGTCTGCCGTGTTGAGGAAAAAAGGTCGATGCAGTATTAATGATCCTTGTACAGCACAGCAGTTGTCGTTCGGGTCTTTGCTCAAGTACCTCCCCCTACTTGTATCAATATTGTGTGTGCGTTTGGACCAGTGTTACGTCCTTTCATGTGCCTGCCGACGACGCGGACACCTCCTTTCCTCACGAGGTAAACGCAGGGCAACTACGGCGTGCTTGCCCAAATATTAGCGAGAGGCATTTCTTCTTCTCTGTAACAAGGTCCCAAGTCCCCCTGCAGCAGCAGCATCCACCATATATATATATGCGCCAGGAGCCAGAGAAACCGAGGAGGGCGTGTGTCTGATGTTGGCTGTATCGTTTGCGTTTCCACTTGATGCTACTGCCCAACAGTTGATGATTTTCCTGAAGAATCAAGAACTACGGTACCGCTGCGGTGGCACAACAACCGCGCATGTTGATTTGTACTTGTACCCCCTACCGTCATGTAGGCATGTAGGCATCCCACAAACGAACATGATTGGTTGATTCGGACGGAATATGTGAACACACACCGCGCGCGGCGTTTGCGCAATATGCATACGTACAGAGATACGTCGGATCTGCACGCGGGGAAGAGAGGGGGAGAGACAGAGAGATAGAGAGAGTAGAAATAATATAAGGGCTCCAGCTCGAGGGTAGAGCGGAGCGAGGGTGCAAGCCTGGTTGGTGCTGGAGACAGCGGCGGGACTACTGCTGTCGTGAATTGCGTGGCATCCGGTGAGCAAAGTGTGCCAAACTGCAAGACGAAGATGATGGATGTTCTACCATACTCTTTTTTTATTTATGAAGTTATAAAGTCGGGCTACAACTACTTGCTACTACTGCTTTTTCTCTGGATCAATCCGTCAATCTCTTTGTGTGCTCTCTACTCTCTACACGTGGCTTCTTGCAGAGAAACAGCAGCAGCGACGACCCCGACCTTGTCGGTATCTGCCTCACGCGCCACATGCTAGGTCGTACTTTGTGGGCGAAGAGAGACGGTTTTTGCAAATCCCCGCTCTCATAGTAGTAGGTGTTTACTTGCCGCCACGGCTGATGTTGCATGTCGTCGCTTTCGCCTATTGTGTACACAGCAAGGACGTCCATTTTGATTTCCTCCACGTGACATAGATGGCGAGCTTCTTCGGTAACTTGATGAAGTCGCCGCCGATTGGCGTACGTAGGCAATGACGTCTGTTTATGACTTTTAGAAAGAGAGGTAGAGTGAGGGTGGGTGGCGGAGATGATTGCTATGCAAAATTGACCGGAACATTTTGTTTTTGATGTAAGGACAACAGCAATCACAAGCAAACCCACACCTACAACTTGATTCCGAATAACTCATCAGCAGAAACGGGAAACAAGCATGCAAAGTGAAGAGCCGTTATTAATGTGTTAGCGGCTGTATTTCCTCCTCTGTGATATGGTTGGCCTTTGCTGTTTTTACATACACATGAATCCTCTCGCGCACACACAGCAGGTGCGGGGGGGCGGGGTTGTTCCGTGAACATTGTCGGCAGTTTCGTGTTCGGCCCAGTCGGGTGGGTCATCAACCAACCGCGCGTGGTGATGGCTAGCAGGGCAGGAGGGGGGCAGGAGAGCCTGGCTCTCATGAACAACTACCTCGCGAAAGTGAAGGACGAGTGCAAGCCGGCCATCTACAGCGCCTTCATCCGCCTTATGAACGCCTACCACGGACACACGTGAGTGAGCAAAAAACAAAAAAACGCTTGCTGCTTACTCTCTCAGGTCATTCTGTTCTTGTTTTTGGATTTTTCGATCTCCATTCATCAGCCCCCGCAAAAGAAATAAGAAAGCTGATGCATTGTGTTGATTGGTCATGATGATGCCGTGTTGTTACGTAGCGCACGCCTGCGACTCTGCAGCCTAAGCGACGTCTGTCCGCAGACGCCAACAAGTGTCCACGCGCGGCAAGTTTACGGCAGTGCGAAATGAAGTGGTATCGTGGTGTACTCGTAGAAAAGGAAAAGGAACATTTTTTTTTATTATTATCGACAGTTTCGGACTCCAAAATTTTCCGGAAATAAGGAAACATACA